GGTTCTGTTCCCTCTGACCTCGCCAGCAGCTTTATAATTTGTCATTTCTCCGCCTCAGAAGACTGAACGACTCATTTGACACATGCCAATATCCAGAGTGCAATTAATTGGCTCAGCCTCTGACACGACCCCTTGCAGCCTGGGATTGCAGAGGAGAGAGGTGTCAGAAGGGTCAGAGGGTTCATTCCAGAGCCTTTGGAGAGTGCTGAGCACACACAGCCTCCATGGATGCTGGCTGGCTCGTTAGTATCTGGGAAACTCATTAGAGTTTTATGAGTTCTTCTTTAAAGCCTCGGCTTCTCATAGCTTAAGGTCACTATAGCACTGCTCTGTGGTAATTGCACCAGTGACAAAGATTTCCTTCCCCTACACTAATTAGCAAGCGGAGAAGCTTAAGAAACCAATGTAGAATCCAACGGGACTATCTGGGTGATGCAGGTTTTTGTTTTAACTATGTATTTTGCCATCAGTACACAATTTAGAGATATTATCAATTTCTTTTCCAAAAGTTTCCCTCGAGATACTTTTTATCTTCCACCTCTACGGCATTATATGAGAAATGGAATAAAGAGAATTAGTCTATGAAAATTTGAAGGATTTATGTGAATTCTTTACTTATGAACCGACAGCATCTTTTCCACACAGGGAAATACCATTTTCTGAGCGGTGAACTCAGAGGACTGTAATTCCAAAGTTGCTTTGTTTCTCTCTACGGACTAAGAGGAGAACCTTGTGGTGGCTGTTTGCAGGAGTGGGTACCAACACCACAGAAATAATGAGTCTGGCCACAGACTATGGTGGTCAGAAGGTGGATACATCCCTTCACAGCTCCTCTCTGACTCAGGACAGCCATGCTGGGCCTGATCCCCTGGTTGTCCTGGATGTGTAGCACGATGGCACTCAAACCCAATCCTAAACTGATATCCCTACATCCAAGCAGAGCAGCAGTGCTGACTCCCACGGGGAACAGTCAGGATGAGGCAATGTGTTGTCTCCGCTGGAGATTTACTGCAAAGGAGCAGGGTGAAAAGATTTAAATAGGTGTCAGAAGGAAGCAATTAGTGCAGATCCAAAGTCAGCTCACACTTGCTCTCCCATGCCAGCTGGCACGGGCCTGATCTGCAACACTCAGCACCGCAAGCATTTTCCTGGATGAATTTTTTTGGAGTCGTGTTTCAAGCACTGAAGTGCTCATGGATGTTCATTTCCATAATGACTCACTGAACACAGGCTTTGTTTTCTTCCTACATAGCATGCTGCAAATCAGAAGCGACTTGACCAGTTTTCTTTACACATACACTCAACAGATACACACACAGGTGGACACGTGTGTACATGTATGTACACGTGAACACACGGGTACACAAGAGACACACACACACACAGGTTGTCAGTCCAAGAGATCCACAACCATTTCCTGGCATAGCTGAGACTGTTCCTGCTGATCCAGAAGCTACATCTGAATCATCCCACATCTGTGCCATGAATGATTATTTTGTTGAAAGGGACATACGACTTCAGGAGTCATCACAAAGTAAAGGAGAGAGTTTTCCTTGAAGAGATGTGACTTTATTCATCTTTGCATTCCTGCCAGGAGAAAGAAAAGGAAGAAGCTTCTTTTGAAGAGAGGAGACATCAGCATGTTTCCAGAACCCCTGAGGTGCACATGAAAAAAATACACCAGCCAAACCTTGACCATGTTCATACTTTCATAGTGTTAGAGGAACGACAGACAATAACACTACGAGGATGACAGGGTAATCCAGATTGAAAGAGACATCATGAGGTCTCCAGTCCAAGCCCTCTACTTGCAGCAGGCTCAGCTATGATTACAGAGAATGTTGCTCAGGGCTTTATCCAGCTGGGTCTTGAAAAATCTCTGGAGATGGAGATTGCACACCCTCACTGTGGGAAACCTGCCCCACTGCTTGACTGCCTTCCTCAGGAAAAGCTTTCTTCTTATATCTGATCTGTCTTTTCTTGTCACAGCTTATGCCTGTTGTCCTCCTGCCCAGCACCACTGTGAAGGGCCTGGGTCTGTCTCCAACCTTGTAGGCACTGACAGGCTGTTATTAGGTCCATCCAAAATCTCTTCATTCTGAAACAGCTCCCCCTTCACCACTCCACATGTCAAGTGCTCCAGACCGCAACATCTTGATGGTCTGTGGATGACCCTGCTCTGGTTTATTACTGTCTTCTTGTACCAGGGTCACAGGAAGCTCCTCTCTGTGGAAACCCAGGAACCCTGACCCAGAAATTACCTGTGTGCTCTTGTTCCTGTCCTCTTGTCCAACCAGGGCTTTGGAAATGCACATCTTCTTGACAGAAGGGTGTGTGGCTCACCCCTAGCTCAGCCAGCATCTTCATCAAAGGCTACTCTGGGAGAATGGAAACTCTTGCTTATCTGTCTTGCTCCCAGGTATTTTTCTCCTGGGATGATTTCCAAACAGCTTAACTCAAATGAATCCATTTCTGAGTAGCCCTGTGACTCTATCCCATGCCAAGCCTTGGGACAGCTGCAGCAGCTGCTTTGGCTGATGCTTTGAGGAAAGGTGAGCATTTTGTCATCTCAGCTTTGGTGTATCAAAAGTTTTTGGTGACAGAAGTCAGCTCTCCACTCCTGGAACCAGACAGGGCAGCACAGACAAGAGAATCACCACTGCTACCAGGCAAGTGAACTGGGAACTTCTTCCAAATGCGTGAGAACTTGCAGAGTCAAAAGGTTGGGGTTTTTTTTATTATTTTCTTGAAATTGTTTGTACTAATAAAATAAAGAGTGACACATTTTTACCCTCAAGCCAAGTCTAACAGCAGAGAAAGGAGAGAGTCCTTCAGAGTCTCATTTCTTTAGCCAGTGAAAACCTTACTGCCTTCAGCGCACTTTGCATAGAATTTACTGCTGGAATAAAACCCCACCACAGTCCCTCCAAGTGTCCTTGGCTACCTGGATTTCCCTGCACTGTCTGCAGATAATAGAGCCCTGTTGCCAGAATCCTGGATTAGCTGACTTGACCCTGTCCAATTCCATTTCTCCCTAGGGGAATATCAGAGAAGGAGATGAAAAAGTGTACGAGACATTCCTAAGTGTCTGTTTCCACCTGGAGGAGCTTAGAAAAGGTGGGAGATGTGCACAGGGCATACAGTTGCTTTTCTGGACAGAAGACTAGGAGGCAGCTGGGATTCCTGGGGCATCTGAAATGATGCTAAAATCGTATATTTAGGCAACTGAGTCAAGCCCTCAGTAAGGCCAAGAGATGTGTTCCACCAGGCAAGGCCAAGAGCTCCTCCTGAAGCAGGTGCCTCCTGAGGGCCAGCTAAGAAGTTCTGCAGGCTTTACTGCACAGTTTCCTTGGGTGTGTACCAAGTGTGATGGGAGAGCAGCCACCTGACTTAGTGAGACCAAATTGGGGTGCCTTCACCTATTCAGATGTCTTAGATGTTCAATGGCTATTTATTTTAAGTGAAAACAGGGAATTGCAGGAATAGCCCTGAAAACACTGCTACAAAGTCCTGGTGCCCTGGCATTGATATATTCCAGTGGTTGGCTGTGAGGTGATCTCAAATCTCCCTCCTCCCTCTGTTATCTCATTGAGGCACAGGAATGCAAACGAGTGAGGAGGGTGAAAAATTAGAAACTTTGAATTTGTTATTTTGAATTTGCTGTTTGTGCCCAAGAAGCTCCAGGTTGAATGTGAATGAGCTGTTAGGACAGGATGCCTCCATGAACAGGGGATTAATATCAGTGTCTTCCAAGATATCTTCCAGCCCCTGAAAACAAGACCAATATAAATCAGGAGATTTAAATTAAGCTTGTGCTGGAAAGTCCTAAAAACAGCTGAAGAAAATTCAGAGTAAGCTTGATAAAGCAGAAAGAGTAAATTACTCCAGTAAGTGAGTTACAGGTAATAGGGAATGTATTAAACAACCTGTTTTTTTCTTCCTGCTGTTGCAAAGCCCAGTGGAGGGAAGAGGAGCACACAAGGGAGGTAGTTCTTCCTGCATTTAAATATCCTCTTGCTCAGATTTTACCATGAGGTGGTTCTTCTTCTTGGCTCCTTATCAAACAGGCTTTCCTTCCCTGATCATAGACACAAACCCACTGTCAAGACAGGTGTCCTCTTCCTTTCCAGCATAAAGAAAATGATGCCTGGTTTTATTGAAACCAACCCAGAGTAGTGTTTATTATTGAAAATATACAGTATTTTTGAACATCACATAAAAAGCCTGGTAGATACAACTACTCAGTAGATATCTTTGTGCAGCATGTAGCACTATCCTCATAACGCAAACATCCTCTTCTCATTGCTATTTTTACAGTGCTTCCCTTTTGTATTTTTGAAACCCAGAAAAGATGTCCCGTTGTCCTTCCCCCACCCCGACCCTCTGAACTGAAAAAAACCCAAAGACTTCCCAAAGGCTACTTACATTGTGCCAAAAGCGTGGGGCTACGAGGAATAAGGATATTTTGCAGAGCACTTAGAGCTACTGCTGTCCTTTGCAAAACCTGTGTGTGCACAGGGCACGGTGCTTGCAAGGCCAAGTGCCTTGTGTTTAACAGTCCAGAGATGCCCTGACAGCTCCCAGTCTATCAAAGGGAGGAACGGGGAAAGTAGATAAATTCAGATTTTTCACACCACCTTCCAGACGCCTTTTTTTTTTTTTTTTTTTTTTTTTTTTTTTTTTTTTTTTTTTTTTTTTTTTTTTTTTTTTTTTTTTTTTTTTTTTTTTTTTTTTTTTTTTTTTTTTTTTTTTTTTTTTTTTTTTTTTTTTTTTTTTTTTTTTTTTTTTTTTGTGCTGCCACAAGTTCTCAAAGTTCTGCAGAGAAGAAACTTTTTACAAAGAAACAAGAAGAGGGGTGGGCTATTATACACCAAACTGCTGAAATCGCTGGGAATCAATGTACAGGGTGAGATGGGCCAGTATGTCAAAAACAGTCTTTGTTCACCACAAAATGGGAGGGGAACAGCAACAACAAAAAAAAATCGAAAGAAAATAAAACAAACAAACAAACAAAAAGGAGAGAAAAATTGATTGTTCCTGCCAGTGTGCTGTTTTAGACTTTGCATTGTGAACTTCCACAAAGTGCAGTCAGGGTTGAACCTGCTTCTTCTTTGAATCTGTTTCACCACCACCGGCTCCAGGAGGCTTTTGCCTGGTCGCCTGAAAAGCAGCATCACGGATACGGGAGATGAGAGTCCACAGGAATACGCCGGGCGCCTCACCGGAGGGAGATCAGCGAGGATAAAGGAAGAAAGTTTGCAGGGAGGGGCTCGGGAAGAGTGGAGATCTCTGAAGGCCACCGGGTGGTGCGGGTCCGTGCGGGGCAGGTCACACGGCCGCCGTCTGTTTGATGCTGTGGAAGCTGATCCGGGTGGGAGAGGTGGGGATGGACATGGCACGCGCCACGCGCACTCGGAGGGAGTGGTGGTCCTGCCAGCGGTGCCACCTCTTCCTGGCGGCAGAACGGACCTGGAGGGAGAAAGAGGAGAGGGGGTGAATGCTTGGAATACTCGGGTGTCCCCCGTGAAGGGACGCTGGACTGCGCTGGGACAAGTGATGATGTGTGTCGGGGCACTGAAACATGCAGGCATTGACTGAGGTGCCTAAACAGGATACCTAAACATCCCCTTGGGTACTTTGGGAAAAACGTGACTCTCACACGTGTCTCATATCTGATGCCTTAAACACCCCAGAGCATTTCAGATGGCAACAAAGGCCTAAACTGAACCAACGGAATCAAGCCCTCGAGACAGATACACCTGATGGAAGGTGCACCTAAGGCCTCTCTAAGACCTGATGGAGGTCTCAGAGGGCCCTGTCACGGGGGCTACAGCTGCCTCTGCTTCCCTGGTGTCTGAAGAATCACAGGTGATCTGACTATGAGTTGGTTCTACAGCACAGACACACCTGACCCACCCACTGTGAGCATCTCCTACAGGCTGGGCAGAGCTGCTCTGCAGTCAACAGGTCATCCTCAAGCAGGTGCTGACAAATGGGCCACATTAATCTTCAACTTAAGTGCATATTTTTTTACATGGAGCTCAGAGAGAGCCCAGAAACCTTAGCTCAAATATATACCTACACAAACAAGAGAAAAACAGGAAGAAGGAGTCCTGTCCTCAAACACAGGGGGAGGAAAGGCTTGAGGTATTCCTAATTTAGACCATGACCAAATCCCTGGCAGAGAAGACTCAAAGGCATAACCTGGAATGAAGCACTTAAAAAAATTTATAGATATTCTTACTGATCTCTGCTTACTGTAGAAAGGAAAACAATTCAGACCCAGGCAGCTAAGCAAGCCTGCAAAATTAGGGGGGATGAATCTGGGCCCAGCTTCTTGGACAGTCAATGAGTCTGACGTACTCATGACACTTGGAAAAGATGTTGACATTCTGCTGCCAACCTGAAATCCGATGAACTTCTAAAAAAGACCATTTTTACATACAACCTCTGTATGAAGATCGGGCCTCCTTTGCCAAAATCACATTTGTTTAGGAGGTGGGGTTATAAATAATATAATGTAGACATTACATCTCAATTCTTGACCCACAGCTCTGTTCCTGACAAAGAGACAACCAGTCAATATGTCAAAGGGAATGATTAATCTCCTCCTACAGCAGTTGTCCAAAATAGGCCAGATATTGTGGTCAGATGAAAAATACCTATATCCTTTAATTAGTTATAAAATGAGTCTAGACAACTGGCTCTGCTTGAGATCTCTAGATTATAAATTTAGCTACATTTAGACAATACTGATATATTTTTCAGTCTTTAATGTACTTATCTTCACTGCATCCCTCTAAAGTAAAGGACTGCTCTTAGCCCTGGTTTACCACCAACAGGGTAAGGTTTGGGTGTTAATAGCAGTGATGCTGTTGTAGATCCTCAACCTGGATCAGCTGCCATGGCAACTGAGCTTGCACAGCCTGTGTGGAAACCATGCTGGCACAGGTTCTCAGCTATCAGCACCCGAGGGAGGTCAATCAGCACCATCCTGGGTGTATCTATCACCACCACTGGGACCGCAGGGGAGATGGAGTCAAAAAGAAAATTGCCCAAAGCTGCACAGCCCCTGCTTTTCTCCCATTTCTTTAAAGCTTGTCTTCAGGCGCACTGTGAGGTCTGCTCAAAAGACGAGGAACACACGCCCCAACTCCACTTTAAACCACACTCAACATTCAAACTTAATAGAGGTTCAGACCTAACCTAATAAAACAAACTATATGAGTGAATAGGACTGGAGAAAGAAGGGTCAACATCTAATGAAAGAAGAACTAAAATTAAAAGACAGCACTGCCAGGAAGAGCATGATCACCATGAATGATTTTGAGATGAGAATGAGAACACTGTGGTTAAATGACAGTGCAGGGGATTTCTGGAAGAGCCTCTCATTATTAAGTAGTGGCTACAGCATACCTTCACTAGTTTCAAGATGGGGTTTGCTCAGTTTACAAAACGAGATGAATGAGGCACTTAAATGAGACAGGCAGAGTCAGGATGGACTGACTCAGTCACACAGGGCTACAGCATCAGCCAGCCTGGATTGCTGACCTTCCCTGTCTCATCAAACCCCACTGGGTCACTGAACCCTCCTGCGAAAACATGACTAACAGCAGGAAGATGTGTCACGGTGCTGCATTTTTCTGGAAGCTCACTATTTGTAAACCTACCATGGTTCTACCTGGAGGGAAAAGGGATATTTATTTCTGATTCTGGATGTAAGGGAGGATATAATATACACCCAAAGGCAAATCCATGTGCCAGAGGACAGGCAAGGGGAGGATGCATCTCATCTGAAAGACTGATGTCTCCTCTTGGCCAGTTAGCACAGAATCCTGGAATGGTTCGGGTTGGAAGGGACCTCAAAGATCATCCAGTTCCAACCCCCCTATCATGGACAGGGACAATTTCCACTAGACCAGGTTGCTCCAAGCCCCATCCAATTATTGGATCCATTATTTATGTTTCTAATACGGACAGTGGTGAAAGAGAGACAATCCCACAAGGATGTGACTTGGACACGTGGAATTATTTAGTCCTTTCTCTCTTTTGCTCCTCTGAGCACAAAACCATCTTACCTAAAGGTTGGGCACCTAAGAACAGACACTTAGCCAGCCAGTGAAGCCAGACTGGATGTATCATTTGTGCTTCAAATCAAGCCAATCAAGTCAAAAAGAGTCACCTGAGGATGAAGATATGAGTCTAAACAAGCAGTTGTCCAAATGGCTTTTATGATGTGGTTTGAGGATAAAAAGCAGCAACAAAAATTCTGTCTTCTTGTACATTCCTAATGGACTGGGTGCACGGAGATAGACTCATGGAAACGAGGGCAAAGCATTTCTTAATGACAGAATAATTCACTGCAATTGGGATGTGACCAGAGTGCAAGCAGAAAAGGTTAAGCTAAAATTTATCTCTTACAGCTGAAGTCAGAATCAAAATGTTTGCTTAACTTTAGGTCAGAAAAGAAAAAAGAAAACTGGCTGTGACAGCTATAATTAAAAACAAAAAAGAAAAAAAAAGACACTGAAAAAGCTATCACACAGTGGAAGAGTAATAGAAAAGGAGAAAGCAAAATTCAAACACGGTTGTTAATCTCCATAAGAGATTAATTTAGTAATTCATTAAGCATTGATAAGAGTCAGGACCATGCCCTAGAGTCAGCATTAGCATATTTATTACCTAAAATTACCAGCACTTGCCTCTAATAGCCCAAAGATGCTACAGACTGTCATCAGTGCTTAGAGCTTAACAAAGGGGCTCTGGAACACAAATTATCAGCCTCACCCCTGTGGAACTGTAGTGGCTTGAGAGGACCAAGATTATCTGAGGAGAGAGCCCAGGTCTCTATGTTGATCCCTGATCTTTTTCTTACAAATTTTTCCTCTTTCAGAGTTACCCTTTTCAGCTTTTTGTGCTTTGTGTACTGTGAATAATCACAGTTCCTGAGCATGTGGTCAAATCAGATTTGCCAGTGCATTTGTGCCTACAGAGTGTGGGCACTGCTTTAGAACAGCCAGGGGAAAGGATTCGGATAATGGGATGGAAATAAAGCAGTGGGTGATAGTTTTTTCTCTTCTGATTGGATCACCCAACCCAGGACTTGTCAAACCATTAGATCACATCTGAAAAAATCACTAAAAAACACATCTGATAAAAAATATTGTTGAAAGCCTCTCCTCCTCCTCCTCCTCCTCCTCCGCAGAATAACAACAAGGATGATAGAGATGGAGAGAAGGATGAAAACATTCAGAGAAGGTTTGCTTTTGATAAAATCGACATCAACTTTGCACTGCTATTACCTGTGCCAGCTACTACCAGGCTGCTGGCTAATTTCTTGCAGCCATCCACTAGAAAGGAGCTGAAGAAAAAGTCTTCAGTGACATTAAAAATAAGTTTTTTTGGAAGAAAAATGTCACGTCTCATTAGCAGAGAGCAAGAAGGCTCGATCCATTTAAAGGGGCCCATTCACTTGGGGCTTGACATAATAACACTAAAACACAACACTATGTAGGTGCCTGATAAGAAGAGCTGGAATAAATGAGCTGTCATGGTAAGGGAAGCTAGAATTAAGACTGCCACCATCCTCTTGTCTCACCTGGAAGTGTTGACAAATGTGGGGCAGAAGGACAACAGGTACTTCTGACTAAAGGATAATCATGGTTTTCAGCAGTCTGTGACTGCAGACCCCAAATAAGGTTCTTGCCGTGCTCAAGTGCAACTTTTTATTCCCAGAAAACCTGATCTGAAGGCAAGTGAAATAAATTGAAGTTTATTACACATCCCAGTGGCCTTTGAAACAGACTGATTTTTGCCTTATGAAAACAGGTTTCAGTCATGAATTCATCAAATTCCACCCACACTTAAGCACCTCTGTGCCGTGTTGCAGGTGGAGGTAACTGGAGAACAACTTTGGACTTTAAACACCTTTAAACCAGAGTGCTAATGCTCTCAGAGAGATAGGAGTGTTTTTATATACATATATTTTTAAATAAAGTACATCATTAAGCAACTATACCTATGTCCTTCTGCCCCCTCTCACTCTACTGGAATGGCTTTATAAAGCTCCCCTAGACCCAACTCTCAGGCTAAAGAAGCTCATGTTCCCATTAAGCCAAAAAATATTGAACTAAACATCTCCATAAAGATGCCAACATCAGTATTTAATCCTCCTAAGGTCAGGAAGGAAGGCACTCAAAACAATCTGCAAGGCTCAAAGAAAACAAAAATGAAGATCAGGCAGAACCTTCCCCCCCCCCCCCAGCCAGCTTAAATCACACCACTGTTTAGGTAACATTGTCAAATTTCTTTTTCTCCCTAAAAAAATTATCCTGCTTAATTGCTCTGCAATTCCTTTTTTTTTGGCAGCAATTCCATAGAACCTGGTAACAAGAGGAGAGTTCTGCAGCACCTGCCAGGCTGGGATGTTAAAAGCTTATTTTTAAGATCCAAACAGTGCAATTTAGTTA